CAGTAGCAATAGCAGTAGTAGTAGTAGCAGCAGTAATAGCAATAGTAACAGCAGTAGTAGTAGCAGCAGTAGTAGTAGCAGCAGCAGCAGTAGCGGCAGTAGCAATAGCAGTAGTAGTAGTAGCAGCAGTAATAGCAATAGTAGCAGCAGTAATAGTAGCAGCAGTAGTAGTAGCAGCAGTAGTAGTAGTAGCAATAGTAGTAGCAGCAGTAGTAGTAGCAGCAGTAGTAGTAGCAGCAGTAGTAGTAGCAGCAGCAGCAGTAGCGGCAGTAGCAATAGCAGTAGTAGTAGTAGCAGCAGTAATAGCAATAGTAGCAGCAGTAGTAGTAGCAGCAATAGTAGTAGTAGCAATAGTAGTAGCAGCAGTAGTAGTAGCATCAGTAGTAGTAGCAGCAGTAGTAGTAGCAGCAGTAGCGGCAGTAGCAGCAGTAGTAGTAGTAGCAGTAGTAGTAGTAGCAGTAGCAGCAGTAGTAGTAGTAGTAGCAGTAGTGATAGTAGTAGTGTCATTATTTCCATACATATTATTGTCATATTATCATTTGTATTTCTCTTATTCTTCTGAAAACGAAACAGCGAATATAAACCAATTAAAAGAATTAACTAAAGAAGTAATAAAACTCATTTTGATTAACAAATACCACTGTAGATAAAAATCAACTGTATGAATCACGCTTGAATATATTACATATCTTACAATTACACATCTATGCCCCCAACCCCTCCCGAGACTGTTCTTTGCTAGCTTAACCGCTGTCCATTCTTTCACTCAGCTGCCGGCCACTCTGTCTGGACACTACTACACCCTCAAAGTGGTAGGCTCTGGAGGACTTAGCTTTACAAACCAGAGGTCACTGCAGGTCAACAAGAAGCAATATTCCATCTTCATTCAGACAGATAAAGGAATGTACAAGCCTGGAGACAAAGGTAGGGGCAAGAATGAGTCGCCTTCAGAAAATTGTTTTCAGTTCATAATTGGTCAGATTTTCGATTATTATTTTGTTAGTGACCAAGATGAGTGATGGTATATCCATACAATTTGCCTTATGTCTTGTTGTGGTAAGTAGTTTGTGGTGCTTGATTTGGTTTTGGTTTCCTCGTATGTTTCTTTCCAGCGTCTTTATGATGTTAATCACCCCCCTAATCTTACGGTCGACACGATCGAGCACTTATAGTGGGGTCAAAATTTAAGTCCGTGGCACAACTTATCATCAAATATCTCTATAACGGGTGAATCAATATCACACACATTTTGCTCAGCAGTTTGTATCAATTTGTCTTAACTAAATCATATTTTTTCTAAACAATTGAGGGTAAATCTTAAAACTTTTCTTCATAATTTATATAAATTACTATAGATCTAAATCTCCGTATCGCAGAAAATGGGATTATTCACAGTACTTCCCGCTTCTCACACACTTTTTGCATACGCATGGCTTACGTCACAGCTCACCAATGCCACTTATTACTAGTAGTTGCAAAATTTGTTACTAGAAATTCATTTTATCGTGAGCTCTCTTTTGCACTAAAAGTTCTCAAAACGTCCGTTCAATAAGCAAAATGTCGCTACAAAGATTCTGTATAACAAGACGGTTGATTCCTCTCTTTGAGCCAATTTAAAAATCGTCCTCAAAATCCCCTTTCCGAACAGAGTTACCCTACTTGTGTGGAAAATATCAAAGCAAAACTAACAAGTTTTGAAATAAATTGTAACAAAAATTTCGGGATAACGCCTTTTCAAGTGGCTACGCTGACAAAAATCCTCTTCGGGTCGAAGGGACGACTGTTTTCTTCGTTTGGCTTTTGAAAAATGACGAGAGTTCATTAAAATAAAATAAACCCAAAACTCCATACTGAGCGAACCGGAACAGCTGATGCGCAAGGGGGTGGGGGGGGGGGGCTATTCCTATTCTTCTTCTGGAGAAACGAAAGAGAGCTTCAAAACATAGACTGCAGCGACATCTCAACCCATGCGCGGTCTTCCGCGGACACTTTTTTGGCCGAGTGAACTATCTTGTTATGCACAATCTTTGGTCCCGATTCGAAAAATAAGATGACGGACTAGATTTTAAAAACGATATTGTCCCAGTTGTAAACCTTCTATTCCTTAGAAACCACCCACTGGGATTTTTACTATTATTATTTATTAAGAAATGTTCTAGAATACAACTGACAGGTGTTTACAAAAATATTGGTCTTAGAGGACAAATTGATACAAGCCACTGTGCAAAAGCTGGAGAGTTTCTGTTTGATAGTTGAGGAAATAATAGAAAAAAAGTTGCACCATGACTTTTTAAACCGCACTACAGTCATCTCGGATAAAGTAAAAAAGTGCTCGTTGCAAAATATAAAGATCCTTTAGTGGTTAAAAAGTGAGGAAGTGTAGGCCACCCAAGCTAAATTGACCATTTTTAAAAGTGGGACCTTTAAAAAATCCAGTAATGGGTAATCACCATTAGAATAGTAAGACGCACCCCAATGCCCTCCTTTACATCAGTCGTATTGACTGTCCATCCTTCGAAGCTCATCAAGAAAGTCAATATCTGAAAGGAGGGAAGTACTATCTAGGCAATCTACTTATTCTTTGGTTACCGCCCAGGCAAACTTGCATCATACATACTGCATAAGATCGTGTGTCAAGGTGCAAAAAGCCATGCATTTTAGAAATCTGTTTTCAGCCGAAATATGGCAGGTACCCTGGGGACGTATTGAAAACTTTAATCAACAACTACAGCCATGAATATCAAATGTTCAAAACAAAAAGTAGACAACAGCCGTCTAGGATAATGATCTGGTAATATGTCTACAATCTCAAAGTGCTGTGTCATCATTTTGTGTCACATGACTATGTGTACCCGCAGTGAACTTCCGGTCGTTTGCTGTGTACCCCGATCTCAGCGCTTTCACTGAGCCTGTGGACATCCTTGTTTATGTAAGTGTACCGTGGCGGATGAGTATGTGTATGTGTGTGTGTGTGTGTGTGTGT